TACTGCATTTTCTGCCTGAAAGCCATGCCGCAATTCATTAACGACATTCCAAACGATACTCCTACTTTCTTATTCGAGGCAAAGGCTGCTCACCGTTCTAACAGTAAAATTACAACAATATATAATTATAGTTTCTCACTTAATAATATAAATGTAATATAACACAAATTGTACGTAACAGCTGTTATAGCTTGTTGCGTGTTATAATATTGTTATGTTTATACTGTTGGTGCTTATTGGATTGTAGAGGAGATCGCTTATCATCGTTTGAAAATTTTGAAATTATGCAGAGTCTATAATAGGAGACGTAAATCTCTAAGTCATAAGAAACCCATACAGCACAGTTTGCGTTCCAGCAATATTGCAGTAACGTAGGAAACGTTGCAATGTTGCTGCCATCTTCTGTACTGTATGTGAGAATTAACTTTCAATTTTTTAATTAATTACACAGTCGAATGTAAGAAAAATAATCGATTGTGATTGGTTAATTTCTTACGACATAAGACTTGCGAGTCTTGTTGTAGGCTCTATGTCAACGGCAAGTATTTCGAATCATTTTCACGGCCAAAAAAGAAGCAAAGATGTCCTTGACACACTGCCAATCAGCACGTCGTTTCATGCACGCTGTTATAAGTATAACAAACAAAACTGATCTTTTCCAAGCCCAATATGTCCTCGACCCTGATCTGTCCAGACCGAGGTACGTGTATCCGAGACAGATTCGTATTCGGTTTGACTCGTTCGACGGTTCTATTCGAGATTTGCGAAACCCGACCCTGGTGCAAACACGTTAACCCACTTCGCTCCGGTACCGCTAAATCCGTCTATATTTGCCAGCACGATGAGCTTTCCCGCGATGTCGTTTGGCAATGGACAAGTGGCTTTAATGCTTACATTTTCAGACGTTGTGATGAAAGGAGAGGATAGTATGTAACAAGAAAAAAAGCTACGAAGAATCGCGATTTAAAGAGATATGTAATTATGATCATCGTAATTTGTAAATTTGCAAAATTCCATGACTTAGACATTTAACGAATAGTCTCAAATTTTATTTTATGAATGTGTTAAGATCCTTCTGTGATATTATGTAATCAATGATATTAATTTTTCCATAAATTCTGGAGATCTTAAAGCTTCACATATTTCAGGAATTTTTGAAATAAAATATATCATCTAAGAAAATGCATACATACACAAATTTAAATCGGAAATCCTTATAGTTATCTTAAAATTATTAAAATTAATATTAAATTTTCTTTGTATTGTAATATATCAAGGAAGTTATATTTCTCATATGAACTCTAAAAGAAGTTTCTTATTCTTTGAACGCTTTTCCGAGGTAGAATTACTTCAGACACGAGAAAGATTTAATTCCTTGCTTAAGAATTAAGTAAACGCGTTATGTCAATGCGGGAGGTAACCATATTTTCAAAGTACAATATCGTGGTTTACCTCGGTATCATTCATTACGTACGTACATATTTATCCGTAAAGATATGTACAGGACGCCTCAAATGTAAAATGTTATTCTGGATTTTAATAAATATGAATGAGAATATGTTTCAAATGGAAATCCGCTTGAAATATTGGAACTCTACATTAGCACTGTATTCTCTCGCCTTTCTCTTTTTACACCATTTGCTATTTTTAACACTTATTAATTTGATTATTATTTCTTATTAGTGTAACACATTATTATACTTAGATATTTCTTTAATGTTTGTTAATTATTGCAATATTAATATATTAATACTTACTATTATGATATATTAATTATATTATTATTATTATGATGCATTAACATTTAACATCACTGGGGATTTAATTTTTCTTTCCATTGTAAATAATTTTTCTCTCGATTATACTGTTATATCGTTATTATACTCCTTATTTGCGAAGAGTATCTGGCACCGCTCGACAACATCCGGCAGTACATGTACAATTTTTTGATGCCAAACAATCCGATGGCCTCTTAACCCTCAGATGTACGATGCAATTATCACCTCGTTTGAAAGTTTTATACACGACGCAATTACATATTGCTCTTGAGTATAACACGATAAATATAAACCAGAATATAATTTCTCGGTAACCCGATATCGCTGTAGTTGCATGTGCGCGATAAGAGGAGCTGCAGGAATAACTTTAATCCTTGAAGTGCATCAGAGGGTTGAACTCTCGCGAGCGAACTTTCCTTATCTGTACGTTTCTCAACATTGAGACAGTTTAGCAATGAATTGTATCTCCGGTGCGGAGGAAGTGCGCGACTTCTGAGATATCCTGTAGACATTATTCGAGGCGTGGTTGCGAGTAGTGGCGCAGGATCGCGTACACCGTGCGTCCGTGCCACACCGCGGTCACGCCGTATGGTACCACGCCTTGGTGATCACCGAGAGCGAAAAAGAGAGAGTGAGTGAGAGAGGGAGGGAGGGAGAGAGAGAGAGAGAGAAAGAGAGAGAGGAAGAAAACGAAAAAAAAAAAGCTTTGAGACGTCTAGACACGTGGGACGGACCGGGGTAATCTCGACTTCTCGACAACCTCGAGCGGTTGATGCTCGTTGCCTGCTTGCTCGCACGGTGTTTGCATGCGTTCCCGTATATGTAATACATACCTACGTGCGCGACACATGCATTCCGTGTCGTTGGGAAAAAGGCAGCCGTCTTAATTGCTGAGCATTGTTAACCGCCCCTGGAAATCTCAGCCGGTGGTCGCCGAGACCTCTCCGACGCGTTTCAATTCCATTGCCGAGACCAAAAGCGCTTTTAATCACATTTGAACCAGTCTATGCTTGTTAATCATATTCGAACTAGTCTATGCCGACGAAAGGAAAAAGAACATTAAGTTTTTTGACAACGTCTTCTTAGTAATTATATCTCTCGCCGTTTACATTACATAAATTAGAAAGAAAATTATCTCTAACGTCAAATTAAACTAGTGATTAATTTTTGAATAAAACTCGATGCAACATGCTATGCATTTTAAATGTAGATTGATTGGATTTACCCAAAAAAAAACCCCCCCCCCCCCCACGGCTTGTAATATATCATTAATCCACTATTTTCTATTTTCATCATGCGGATTCTTAAAAATATTGCATTTTTGATTGATCGTATCTTGCGTCCAGAAGATGATATATAGAAATTGAGTGCTTAAATCCTGTTTGCTATATATAGTACATGACAGGAAAAAGTCTGGTAATAATGAAGTCTAGATGATACTCAGTAAATACAATGTTACATGTAACGTAAATGCAACATGCAATGTCAGCTTAACAAGATAACTGTAATATAACAGTATTACATTACAGTTATCTTGTTGAGTTGTTAGAAATTTGGAAAAATAGTTTTAAATTACATATGTACGGTTATAATATTAAATTAAAATTAAAATTAAAATTAAAATAATTAAAACAAACTAAATTTTTCTAAATATTACTTTACATTTCTATCTATTATCAAATGATTGGTTACTTTTATTATGTTTATATATATAATATTTTTACTAAGTATTGCACCAATATACGTAAAGAATAATTCTGTTAAGGTATCGGAAAATTTTATTGGATATACAATAGATCTGAAAATAATTTTGGGACTATCAAAACAATTATATTAAAAATAAAAAAATTATTAGCGATGCTACAAAAAGTTTTGTCATTCTAGTAATCAATTTGAGCGCCTTCAGATTAATTATTTTGATGATCTAACAAAATTATTTTCAAATCTATCTAGCTAAATTTTTAGATACTTCAGCAAAATTATACTTTCCATGTGTGTATGCTAAACAAAATACATTTAGTAAACTATTACCTGACTTTTTCCGCAGTATATTCTACTACAATTATTATTTTGTTGCAATTATACTTAACGGACATTTTCGATTTTTATTTTTATGTTATATATTATTCAAATCAGTCGAAGTTGCGCGTTGTCTTATCATATATCATTACTGTTACAGGTTTTAGCATCCGCGTCATCGTACGACCGGTTCATGAAAATCATTCAACATCTGCCTCCAGCTATAACATCAGTGACCACGCCAATACGGACATCATCGTCGCACGTTATCTTCTCAAACGTTCTCTTCTTCCTCCTCCGTTTCTTCATTCCTGGGATTTTCGGCCCGCCTGTGAACAGGAGTCCGTCTTGAGCTTCCATCCTCGACTTGATCCAAATCTCGCTGGTCTCGTCATATCGGCCAATGTTATAGTTCTGTAAGCTTTCTCCATTTCTTCCTTCATACACTTCTTCCTCTTTCTCTTCTTCTCTTCTCTTTTTCTATGTTTCATTTCTTCCTCTCGGCACTGTCAATACTATCTTCTCTACGAAATACAAATCATTGCCCGAGTGTGTCAATTATTTTTTACGAGCATAACGGGAGATAGAAAACGCGCGTGTGTCTCGTGAGGTAACTAGCATTGCGAGATTACTGCGCAAAAAATTGTATCGCAATGTGCCTTAGAGTGCCTTAAGGAATTATAAAGGTTTGTCTCATAATGCTCAAGCAATGTAAGCTCGTAAAACGATCCTTGCAAGCGTCTTTCTACGTTCTTTAAGCCTATTATTGCGTTATTTAAACAATCGTATTATCGTTATCGAGTCGTTGAAAAGTTTTATTATTAACAACTGCGAGAAACATAAGGCAAGTACCGTTCGTAGTCGATGTGAATTAGTAGAAAACGATAAGATGATAACTGTTAACGGCAGGTTTATTTTGTGACCGATGCTATATGCCGTTTCTTTTATAGTTCTTCTTTCGACATGTACCGTTTCATTCGATTAGAGAGCAATAAATTATCGCATGGTGGATACGAATTTTCGACGGTCGTTGCACCGTACTGTTAGAATATCCGAATCGAGAAGATAAACGACACCAGATATATCTTGTGAAATGTTGAACTACTAATTTAAAAAGCGCAACTATATCTATATGTATTTTAACTATTTTTGGCTTTCACTTTTCACAAAGAATTTTTTAACGAAGATTTATGTCTTATATACATGTATATACAGAATTGAGCGTATACGTGATACACGCGTTTGCGAACTATCTGCTTGCTTGAATCAATGCGTTTAAGCAAGTAGAGTTTCAAAATAAATAGAATAAGCGAATGAACTGCGATAATAGTGAATGAGCCTATCGACGTACATCTCGTCGTATACGAATAAACGCTGAAACATACGCAATCGATTATTAATTCGTGAATATATGTAAAAAGAAATTCTATGATAAATGTATATATGAATTGAATTATCATATGCTTGATATTTTCTTCTGAGGTGACTTTGTAAAAAGTTTGTGTATTGTTTCGATTGTTGAAACGTCAATTTTATTCAGGTATTCACGAGTTAGTAGTCAGCGCGATCGCAAAGGCTTGCGTCGAAATAACAACGGCGGAGTGGAGTATGAATGCTTGTGAAACCTATGAATCTTTCGATACTTTTTGGCATCAAGCATTTCTTGCCGATCAATTCATATCTCGTATCTGGCGGGCTTCTATATATGGAGCAGCCTATAGAGTTTCTCTGAAGTCACTTCTGACTTTAGCTCTTCCAACACGTTCAAAACGCTGCCACTTCAATGTCTGTGCCTGTACTTCTTCAAGCCTCTCGTTTGAAATTAAATGCATGTCTTTCTAGCTAGTGTGTGGCTTAGCACGCACGGAAGTACAATGCCACCCGCGTTGTTAAACAAAAGCAATATTCGAATGCTCAACGACCTGAGTTTTGCTTACAGGAAACGAGAGGGCAACCGGAGGCGGCACTGCTTTCGCGGTGAATGAGAGAGTGCTTTAAGTTGCAGAATTGTTGAAAAGAAACGTCGGCATGACTACGAGAAACGGCCAGACTCCACCCGGTGATTTGCAGACGCCATTCTACGCGTCCTGCATCGGGCTTTGATAGCAGCACTGTAAACGGAACTGCTTTCTCTGCTCGTAGGGATTCTTTGCAGTTCTATTCTTCAAAGTAGATAACGATTGATATTCCACTTTCTTTACGCTTTCTCAGCGAGATAGACTTTAACATCAAATCTTTCAATAAACGAACTAATATTATTTCTATTTTCTACTATTTCTTTTGTTATCTTTCCTTTCCTTTTCTTTCTATTTCTCACTTCATCTTTCTTTTTCTTTTCTTCGATTCTCCTCTCGTTGTTTTATCTTCTTTGTTTCTTTCTTCTCTTCACCTTTCAATGCAGCGAATTAAAAGAAACTGCGAACAAATGTATCGGATAAAAACGTAGAATGATTGGTAGTTCTGTTGCGAAGAAGCCAGTTTGTGCACCGGTTCTGCTGCTCCAGTTCGAGTTCGTGTCTGTCCGTCGAATATCAGTCGTTAGTCAATATAACGAGACTTCACGCTAGCGTGTGTATGTACATATACGCGTTATTTCCTTTCGAGAGCCGTAAGACTGATAACTTAAATCACGTACATAATGTAAATAATATACGTACTCATTAAGGATTTTAATTGCCTCGATGGAAATTTTAAGCATCTCTTATCTTACTGGACGATTACCGAGATATTTCTTGTAATAAGTAGATCACGTCTCTGTAAATTTTTTTATCGTGTTATAAGTCCTCATTCTCTTTTCCGTATTTTTACTAGCCACTTGTAATATTTAATAATTTTATGTGTGTATCTTCCAATATATACTAGACATATTATAACACCTATTAAAGTTAATGTTACATTGTTTTACCATCTTTTATCCGAATTGTGTGGGTTGAATATTATTCTATTTTTACAGAGCGTATTAGTCATTATATATTGTATACATTTTATCATTGTTGGTTGTTATTAATTAGGCTGTACTACCTGAGTAAAAATATATAAGTTGCATATGTTCATTACACTGGATCGTACGTATATACATACATTTGGGTACCACATTGTAAATATACCAATAAATATTATCTCTTTTGCAATAAAAATTATAGTTATGATTATAATATGATGTTGTCTGTTATTATTTATTCTAATTATTCCTCAATTCTCATTAACCTCGATAACTTTATATAATTGTTTTTTACTATTTATTGAAATCGTTGGAATTAAATTTGAGAATCGCATTTATTGATACGCTTTCATATATCATTTTTACGGCCAAACAATATTCTCAATCCAATCAAGATAAGAACTAACTCTGGTATATATCGCGGGTGATAATTTAAAGGCACAAAACTTGCCGAAGCTTGTCACACCAACGATGCTGTACATGCAGTAAGGTTCCGCAAGAATTCTTTGCAATGGACCGCCACTATCACCCTACAAATATATCAAATTAGACTCTATTCCAATCTTTTCTCAATTCTTTAAACATAGGAGCTTTAAAATACATGATTGTATCTAATAGAGTAAGACTATTACTGATATTTCTTAGAAGTAAAATTTATCAAATTTAGTCAAATTAAATATATTATGTGTATTTATTCTTTATCTAATAATGCTTAATGTATATATCTGCTGATATATCTTTAAAATTACACATATATAAATTTCTTTAGTCTTTAAATTAAAATTGAAGATTTCAAAAGTCGAAATGTTCCAAAATAAATAAAGAGGTTGATGTATAATGAAATCCTTAATCTGAGAAATATGAAATGTATTTTCAAAACTTTATTTAAAAAAATAAAAGATTTAAAAATAGTTTTAAACAATTTTTCACCTGACAAGTGTCTTTGCCGCCTTCCATTATGCCGGCGCAAAGTAAGCTTGATATTAAACCATCGGGTAGCCGCCGAGTACCAAGATCCTCAGCGTAAGTCTTTTTACATTCATCTTCGGAAATGTAGTTCAACTGGACTTTCATCAATTCGTTGCTGCCAACACTGGATTCTGAACAATATCTTACATTATATCTCTCAATATGCAAAAAAAAGAATATAAATGATGATATAAAATACTATTATTAAATTTAACATAAATATGAAAATTAAAATAATAATAAAAATAGTTTCGTGGTTCTAAGAATAAATCAAATATAAATAGAATGCCAATATGAAGCTCTGTGATTGTTGGTGCGTAAATAATATATTTATAAGGCGATAAGGTAAACATTTCTGGATTTTAATTCTCCTCAATGCGGAAGTCAAGTACAAACTAGTTTGATCCAGAGTTCAAACGTTTGCTGTTAACTTTATTGGTAAATATATTTCAATTGTTTGCGAATCTTATCGCTTTATATATAATTATTTACGCATCAATAACCGCGAAGGTTTCATATAGACATTTTACTTATATTTGTAACATAAAAAATTTAAATCTAATCTATAATAAGTTCTTTGCTTCCTGTTTCTTGCCTACCGCCTTTTACCTTTTGCTCTTTTTACCTCTTTTTCTGTTTTTTTTTTCTCTATGTCGTCAAAGATAAAAATTGACGAACTTCAAACAAGAATGACAACATGAAATATGATTATCGATAAAACAGTTGCAAAAAAGCAAGAAGTAAAATGCTAGAAACGGGAAGCGAAGAGCACGTTGTAGATTAGGCTTTAAAAGATACTGACCGTAGGATGTTTTCCCAAATCCAGAAGCGATAGCACTTTTTCCTGGTAGCTGGGATTCTATTTCAAGGCACGCAGGTCTCACTTGAGGATTCAATTCCAATGGTTGTTCAAGCTTGAGTAACGCTATATCATGATATCTGACCGAAAATTTGTAATCCGGATGCTTAATTCTTTCCGCGACGTTCCTCTCCTGCATAACATCGTCAGGAGTCATCAGATCAATTAAGCCGACTCGCACTTTGCTTGCGGGACCCCTAAGAAACACGTAGATGTAATTTAGTAAGAGTACAGTGGAGTTTTATCGTCCATTTCTCGCGATAATGTTCATGTTTACGAGCAGCACATATTGAATATTTAAAAGTTGTGCTTGTATTCACAAAGAGCAATCATGATTGTTGAAGTTTTAAGCACGTCACTGCAAAGAGATATTGTTTGTTGTCGTGAATATTTGTATTACTTTTGCAGTTGAAACTGATCGAATAGTCCCGCCCTATGTATAAGTTTCTATTTGATATCCAAAATTGATGATAGTGTAGTAATGATGTAAGTGCGAAGAAATAATTGTAGCAAAATTGTTACTTGTCCGGGGATTCCATACAGTGCGCCGCTGTCAGAATAAAATTCTCGGAGATGATGCTTCCTCCGCATTGCCAGGACACATCTTTGCCATAACCAATCACTGCCTACGATATGGAAAATACTACTCTGTTAATTACTTTGATGATTAAAATGTTACTTGGAAATCTATATTGTGTTATGACAAGGGATTTTCCAAATAATACGTTTTTAGAATCGCATATAAAAGCGAAAATTATTGTGTGACAATAAAAAAGCAAAGATTATTAGATAAATTAGTTTATTTAACAAAAATATAATAAAATTTAATATTTGCAATTATTATTTTTTATTTTTTAAAATTATAGGAACATGCAAACATATATTTTACATGTATTAAAAAAATATTTTTTATTATATATTTTATATATTTAAATTTTACGTTTTTCTGCATATTTATGAATACTTTAATTTTAAGCATAAATTTTATATTACATTGTTTACGTTACATTATATTAGTGACAATTATATTAATATCATTTTCTATCTAAGTAATTGAAATTTAGAAAATAATTTTCATTGTCTACAAATGTTTATGCTTATATGTTTGTAACAACATTTGACAACATAATATATAATTCTTAATTATTTTGCAAATTGCAGCGATAAATTGCGTATTTGTTCTCACCATGTGCGGAAATTCTGCACGTTTCGCTTGGATTCCGCCGATGATTAGAGGTGTCTCGACAACGGCGCAGCGGGAGACTTTATTCGAGCCGGCATTGATACGTAAAGTCGGCGATTTCTCGGTTTCATAAACCAGATCGGCGTATTCCTTACATTCTACGAAGAAGCGGGAATTATGCAAATTGGGGATTATGCAGATTATAGCGGAAAATGGGTGGAAAATGATGCAAACGACGATCTATGGTGCAATTATGATGTGAGGGAATTATGGGAATATATGGAAATTACTTTTGTTACTCATTTATACGCGTAATTCTTTTTCTGCAAAGTGCGTAGTTTATTAATTTATTATTGCACGTCATGATTACTTAATGCATCTCCTGCGAAATGCGCATCTATTTGTATATTGATCTAAACAAATTACACACTGTTCTTGTAATTACAAAGCACATATTTGCATAATAAAGAATAATTCTAAAAACAACTTAATATCGATTTAACAAACATTACACATTTTCACAGAAGTAAAGTTGTGATGCAAATTGTGTGGTAATATCTACGGTTACAAACTGTTTTGAAATGTTTTTTGTGATTAGCCAATTAGTTAATTTTTAACTTCTAATTGGTCAATTAAATGCTTTGAAGCATTTACAGTATCAAATAAACTACAGCCTAATTAGAGTTGATTTTTAAGTAATAACAGTTTTATGGAAAATTTTATAAAAAGCTCGATTTTGATTCCTAATGAAAAATTTAAGATGAAATTAAAAACTTCAAGATTATTAAATTATGGAGATTTGTAACATGAAAACTAAAACAAATGATTATAAGTCTCTAAATATTGTTCTTATTTTTTAGTCACTTTTAGGAGTTTAATTTAAACAAATATTTATTTAATTTTATAATTAATCGCTACAATATTTAGTATTAAAAATTATAAAGTTGCCATGATTTTTAGTTTAATTTCTATCCATAAAAAATTAATTTTAAGTTTGACAAGAAAATAAGATACATTGAAATCATGATATGTGTGCGTACATTCGAAATAACCAATTCTTCGAATCCGAATATAACGAAGCAGATAGGCTATCACTAACTTTCTTCACTTTTTCGCGCCGCGGAATTCCTAAGTAAAATTGTGACGAACAACACGATCGCAAGCGCTCTGTGCATGTTGCCAATACAATGCCAAATCCAATACATGGCGTACCGACACTTCCTTCGAACAAAGGTCTTAATAGCAAATTCTCACCTTAAAAACAACGGATAATGCGTAACGAAGTGCATGCGGATTGCCCGATGAGATCGTTTATTAACGATTGGTGATCCATGAATCAAGATGTCATTAATGATAT